ACCTGGTGATCGATCCCCTGGTCCGGGCGGCCACGGAATCGGGAGCCGGGTTCGCGGTGTTTGGCGAGAGGGTCACGGCCCTGGCGTACGCGGACGACATTGCGCTCGTCGCAGCGGCCCCCGACGGCATGGAGAGTCTTCTTTCCGGGTGCGAGGGTATCGCGCGGTCCCTGGGGCTCGCTTTCAACCCGCGTAAATGTGCAACGTTGCACGTGGGGGTGGGGGGCAGTGCCTTGCGGACGGTTTTCCGACTGGCGGGCGAAGACCTGCCCGTGATGGGCGAGGGGGATGCGTACGCGCACTTGGGAATTCCGACGGGGTTGCGCGTTGAACAGACGCCGTATGGCGACATCGGAGACCTGGTCGCTGACCTCGAGGCGGTAAACGCGTCGTTGCTCGCCCCGTGGCAGAAGATCGAGACTGTGGCGGTGTTCCTGCTGCCGCGGCTCGACTTCGTGCTCAGGGGAGGAGCCGTGAGAAAGGCGCCGCTTGGCGAGGTAGATCGTGCCCTGAAGCGGATGGTGAAGGGGTGGCTTAACCTCCCCCAGCGTGCCAGCGCGGAGGTGGTCTTCATCCCTCCGTCTAGGGGTGGATGCGGGCTCCCTCCGCTGGCGGACCTCGCGGATGTTACCGCCGTGGCGCACGCGTTCAGACTTCTGAACGCTGGCGACCCGGTGGTCGCACGGGTTGCGAGGTCGGCGCTGGACAGCGCCGTCCGCTCGAAGATACGCCGCGAACCGACCGAGGACGACATCGCCGCCTTCCTCTCGGGCTCGCTCGAGGGGGAGTTTGGGCGGCCGTCCTCTAGCCGCGTCACGTTTTGGTCGCGAATTAGATCTGCCGCCTTGAGGTCCGCGGGGCGGCTGGGTTTTCGGCGGCGCTGGGACGCGACGCGGGGGGAACTTGCCCTGGAGTGCCGAGCACGCGGTGGACGGAGGGTAATCGTGCCCCCGTCTGCCAGGCGGCAAGCCGTTGGCCGTCTGAGGGCCGCGGTGTCGGAGCACTATTCGTCCGTGCTGGCCGCGAAGCCGGACCAGGGGAAAGTCTTCGACGCGGCCTCCCGTCATGGAGCGAGCAACTGCTTCATGCGGAATGGCAAGTACCTGAGGTTCGCAGACTGGCGCTTCGTGCACCGTGCGCGCCTCG